ACATCTTTAGAAAGCGATTTATAATTTAATTTTGAAATTATATTAACTATATGGAAATGGATGGAAATGAAGGATGCGCCTCCATCTGAGCTGTATTTGTATTTATAGCTTCGCCAGCTCGTCCGCTGCTCTCGGCCTCGCTGTGCGTGCACATCCTCGCACACAGAGTGGAGCAGACTTGACTTCAAAGTAAAAGTCGTGCTTTACTGCTGAAACGACACATTTCAAAAAGCCACAACTTTTACTTTGAAGGTCTCTGTTTACAGTTTGCATCACTCGTAGTTTCACAACTGCTTCGTCAGCGGTAACCTGCTAGTAAGCGAAGCACAGAGGTCTTTGTCTCAGTACGAGTACCTCTATGTGATCATGTTTCCTCCAGAAACCACTCGCCAACCATTTTTGATCGTTGCCTCGCCAAATGGTTGCTAAGCGCTCACTGTGTGGCTTAAGTTTCTACTTTCCATGTCTGTGAGTCTGCAAAGGTCCGAGTGATGTAAATTTGACCATCAGACAGCGGGCACAGGGGTTTATATGGATGCCATGTGCCTGTTTTTGGTGGTCGCGCACACTCGTCCACAGGCAGAGTTCACAGAAGAACAACTGGAATGACCGAGTGTAATCAAGGCTGTAATGACGACTTCTAACTTAAGTGCAACAAAAGCTTCCAAACAAGTGTTTGGCACATAAGAGCTCGAGCGAGCAGGACAGAAGCCGAGAGTCAGCTGTGATTTTCAGTCACGTCGACACGCTCAAAAAGTAAAAGCTGCTGAGTGAAAAAACTCCACACTGTTCGTCCTTTTAATGCCAACTTCCTCCGTCCTGTTTCAGCTCTCCTGCTGTAAGCTGAACAGATCCAGCTGGAGTCAGAACCCAAACACTGGATCATGTCCACAGTTTCTGCTTCTTTGTACTAACAGTACTGATCGTTTTATATATAATTCACAATGTTCACCACATGTTTGGTGAATGGTAGGGGTGCAACGATACACAAAATTCACGGTTCGGTTCGATACTTTGGTGTCACGGTTCGATATTTTGTCGATACAAAAAAATGTTCATGCCTTTTTAATTTGTCATTTATTAAAATTATAAATATATATTTTAACTCAAAAGTACAGTTTTTAAAATTTAATGTTGCTGAAACAACAAAGTAATAAAAAATAAATCTATCTGAT